ATATTAAGTCAAAAATCATCAAAAACTCTAAGGCATGGGTCCAGCATTCCTCATTATAAAGGAACGCACACATCCCTGAAAGGTGTCTTGAACGCACATCGCACGGCCAACCCTTCACAAGTTGTACCAGCTGAACTTCAGAGTGGTTCTGCGAACATCTTACTTAGTAGACCTTTGATCTATCTACTGTCAAATTTCTGACGATCTCGATAGCTTCCTTGAAGAGAAATACATCAAAACCCAACATGATGCTAAAACGACCTTCCCTCAGTTCATCGCCTCCAGAGGTCCAGCATTCCAAACAAACGTACCCAGTTGAACGGCTTCTTATAGAAAAAGATTCGCGCTTTCGAATGGTTTTTAATCAACTCGAAAGGTTCAGTCTAAGCCGAGATACGTGCATTTAAAATTAGGGGTTGGAAAACGACAGAACTTTCTGAAACACCTAATAATACAGACAGCGTTGGGACAATGTATGCGCCACACGTCCGCTTTTTGCTAGTTTTGCAAATAAAGGATAAAGGATAAAGCATTTGCCGTTGATCAATCCCTTTTTGGGATGCGGCACGCATTCTACTTCCATTTGTACATTCGTAGTGGCGTTTGAATGCGATGTGGCCTATACAATGACTTGCGGGGGCCAGCCGATGTACAAGTCAGTGTTTTTATCCTCCCAGACAAGTCTGGTACCAATTAACCGACCCCGGAGGGATGGAAGGCTTGGTTGGCCCGGGCGACTCACGACCCAGGATTTGATCCCCGGACCGCTCGCGTGGTAAGCGTGCCACTTGCCACTACACCACTTCCGCCCAGTTTTGCAAATATTGTATATAAAACCCGTACAAGAACTGGGGAGGGCCAATTAGCACTATGAAATCAGCTCAATTAACACTTGCTACGGCAGTTCTAGCGATTGTTTCACTTTGATCCGACTGATGCAGTACCTTGTAGTAACGAAAGACTTTATAGAAAAGTAAACAAAAAATCGGATTCTCAAAGTAATTTTAGAAGCCAGAAGCTCAAAGTTTAGAAAATCTCAAACTTCTCTCTTCATAGAATCTAGGCAATGTTGTCAATTCTGATTCTTTTCTTCTGCCAGCCAGAGTTTCATGTGACAAATTTCACTAATGGCCCAACGCCTGCTATGGTATGGCAGAGCCGAGGACTCCGCCAGAGGACGCTAGCACTATGCGGGACTAACGCTAGGAAGATGAAGAAGACAAAATTCCAACTTGCCCATTAATAAAGTTTTCCATCTGAAAACCTCCCCAGCAGAAGCAAAGTTGTTAAGGTCCAAATTTAGGAAAACAGGCAAACCTGAGGAGACACCATAGTCATGGGCCATTTGTTTTTACGAGCAATGTTGAATCGATCGTTTAGAGCCCCTGAAAAGAAAAAACTCAGTTCGTATAGATTTTTCATGTGCTTCGAAATAGGTTACCAGTTGTCCCGAACACCCAGCACGATCCACAGTAGACTGGAATGTGTTGATTTCGCACCGTTAACATTCCTCCAATCCCATTGCTTTGGAAGATCGTTCTTCAACGCAGAGCTTGTCTCCCAAACTCTCGGTTTTGTCCTGAAAAAGAGATAACTCGATCGATAACTCTAGAAATTGGTCGTAATGGTTAATGGGAGAATTTACGGTGAAAATGCAACCCATTCCAAATCAAGTAAGGGAAGGTGGGTGCACAAGATGAAAGAAAAACCATGACAATGGCTCAGAACCCCTAGAAATAGAATCCCTTCCTTGCCCCTTGGTTTCCGCATTGATGCGACTTGCATCGTTATGCCCTCTTCAACGTTAACTCTCTCTCTCTCTCGCTCTCTCTGCTATCTAATCACTCGCCACGTATAGACCTGCGGCGAGTGATTAGATAGTCGGTGGGCGTACCCGCCAACCGCGCCAAGAGTGAGCCATGCTAGATCGCCGAGGTCAAATCTTTCGCTGCCAATTGCGCGTCGTCAGCACCCTCAGGAGGTCCGCCTGTCTCCCAACTAGGCAATTTCCCCTTCTTCGACCTTCGTTTTTTATCGTGAAATCCTCCTTTAAACTTTACCCGTAGCCGGCCTAATATGGCCTGCAATCGCAATGTGCTCTTGAGACGGTATGGTAGCCCATCTGGACTGCCAAGCTTGATTATCGCTTGTGGGCAGAGGAAATGGTGAATGATAGGCTGGGTAAAATCTCGGTATTTGCGGTCTAAAATGCTTTCAAATTCCTTTACGGGGAAAGTAAATAGATGCATCCTCTTCTATACCACCATTCGTCGTTTTGATCGGAATCCTACTGTAACAACCAATGTTTTTGTTCGTTTACAGTAATCCGCGCTTGTGAGCATAAAGCAGTATAAAAATAAAGGATAAAGCATTTGCCGTTGATCAATCCCTTTTTGGGATGCGGCACGCATTCTACTTCCATTTGTACATTCGCAGTGGCGTTTGAATGCGATGTGGCCTATACAATGACTTGCGGGGGCCAGCCGATGTTCAAGTCAGTGTTTTTATCCTCCCAGACAAGTCTGGTACCAATTAACCGACCCCGGAGGGATGGAGGCTTGCATCTGGGCGACTTGACGACCTAGACTTCGATCCCGGACCCGCTGGTGTGGTATACGCGGCCACTTGCACTTACACTTGAATGTGATAAGTAGTGAAGGTTACTGTTTCACTACCCTGTGAGAGAGCTGCAAAGGCCGTTTCCGTGTTGCCCTCTGTGTCACTATCTTCTGACCTGCTCTGTATTTTATGGGCAAAGTGCAGGGGTTAGCTACTGATCAACTCCTCGCCATCGCATTGGACTTCGTGCAAGAGCTTATTGCCATAGCGAAAGCGTATGTTGTCTATCCAGTAAACTCCGGAACGATATAAACGCAAGTAGAGGCTAGCTAAACAGAAGACAGTGGGGAGGGTGCGCCAAGCAGAGCAAAACTCTCGATCCACCTATATTTGAAAGAGGTGAAGGTTTCAAAGGAGGTAGTTTGAAATGGTGATAGCAATCTAAAACGTTTGACCGCTTTGTCTCTCACGCTTTGCATCGTCCTCATTTAGTTTCGTCGAACGGGGCACTACTACTTTTACAAAACTCGAAACTTCTTTAAAGCAGATCTTACTTGTGCTTCGAACACTTTCCGCGCTTTTTTCTTGAGTCCTCCGTAGCGATGATGCTGCTTGTTTTGCGCGACTGTTTCATCGCTTTGCGTGGTTTCCTGAGAAGTGACTTTGAGAGGGTCTATGGAGCAGGTTGGAAATCAGGAACTAAGCTTTCAAAAAAGCTAGCAAGAATCTAAACTATTGTGTTGAGCTTCCTCACCTGCTGATTTTTCAGAGGAAGACCACGGCGAACTGGGGCAATTGGAAGATTTTTCCGCTGAGAAATAATCTCCTGAAATGGACATTGCACACTCAGCTGGGTAGCTGCGAGCTAGAAATAAAAGTTTTAGGTAATGAAGATGACATTAGCCTTTAAAGATTTTCATCGTAACAACCGGTAGGTAAGAGTACGTACGGTAGGTAAGAATCACTCAGCTCTTGAGAGCCCAGGTTAAACGAATACCGAACATGGAATTTCGCAGTCTAAGTACCAGTGGCATTACTGAGCCTTTCGATCAAATGTGACATCTTGGATTGGACAACTGATAGACTTCTGGCTTTACTTGTCAAGTAACAGTAAAAAATGATGCATGAGGGAGTCAAAATAAAAAAAGTCTCTCCATTCCCATGTTATGTTGAAAAATCGCATCCTACTAGACGGGAACCGAATGCTTTCCGATGAAAATCGGAGAGCTTGCTTGAGTCTATTTAACAACCTAAAGATGGCCCCGTACGAGGGATATCAGAAGAACCTGCTAGGGAGCAGGGTGCAAGATTCGAGCTGAAGGAACTCCTCGACAAATTGTGGGCAATTACGACATTGCTCGAGATGCTCATCAACAGGATGAGCATCTCGAGCATATTCAGAGCTACTGTCTCTAGGAAACTGTCCATCGTTGAATCGATCGAAGAAAGTAATTATCAGCTTTGTTTGGAGCAATTACGGTATGAATTCCTGAGTTCGACGGTGATAGCAGAGAACTAAATATTATGAAGACAGTGGGGCTTGTTCCTACTCATGAAAGGATATCTCAGAGGTTTCTGGTCGTGAGAGTTTCATAAACCGCAGGACTACCACCGTCCCTCGTGAGATCGGGAAGCAAAATAGTACAAAATATTTCATATTATACAAAGATCCTTAAGAAAACCTATGAGGAAGGTAAAGCCACTTGTTGCTGATCAAGCGCTTCAATGGGACTATGCACTCCACTTCCATCCAGAGTTAGTCTCATTTGAATGCATTTTGGTCCACATACATGACTGAGGCCAGTCAACGTACAAGCCCGTTCTTAAAGCCACGAGTCAGGATTAGGTGACCATAGAAGGCCTTTCCATCACTAATATTTCCAGGAATGCGCTCAGAGGGGTGATGCCACACTCCTGACTCGAGATTGCGCGCCGTCAAGGCCTCTGGCCTACTACTTACAGCGATGGGTTCGTTTCATCAGCTGGTCCCGCCCACCGCGGGATGTGGTGCGTGGCTGGCCTAACGTGTGAGATCAGCTAGGTTGATTGCCGTATCAACCGATGGAACGGCTGGCATATCCGGAAAACTCGTTTGGACGTGGCTCTCCCCCGAGCAAGCCTCCTTCACTGCTAGAAGGGAAGGGGTTTCGATTTCGGTCTTGTCGACGGTTTCTTTGCGTTTTTTCTTCACTGTCGTTCCACCTCCCATCTCTACACTCAATTTCAGGCGCCATAATGCCCAAACACGAGCCTGACTTTTGCCTTTAATCTAATTCTTGCTTCATTCCGATTTGCGGCATAGAAATCTTGATTGCGTGGTAGGGATTTGCTCTGGAATTTGACCTCCCGGTTGGATGCGCTATTGCAGGGCATGTAGCTCTTTGCCCAGAAATGCCTATATCGCCGTCTCTTCAATTTTATGAGCTCTGCCAATAGCTCAAGCTCTCCTTCCTGCTACCGTTCTACTTTTCACTTGTAGGATGGAGGAAGCGATTATGGGAGCCGACGCTGATCCAGTCAGAATAAGCTGGGTGCGCTGATCAGTTTCTCGATTGGACTTTAAGATGAATGACTTATTGTTGGTGACTTCATTGCTGGTCAGATTGGTCAAATGAGTAGCAAGCTACCTTAAAGCTTATCAATCAAGGACTCATCAGGTTGGTACTACCGCGAGTTTCATGATTGCTGATGAATTGCTGCGTATGAAGACCTGGTGGAAGGCACAAGCAGGTGGTCCTCCGTTCAAATTTAGTTACAACAAAAAGGTAACGAGTACAACTGATACGTGAAATGCCTCGAAAAACTTTCGATATGTTTATATGCTTCCATGAACTTCAAAACACTCACATCCAAGTCTTCTTCTGCCTCGTCGTGTACGACGACTTCATCGTCAGATTCCCGTGGCTCATCTAGCATGTTCGGTCTCTGAAAATCTTACGTGAGGAACTTTCGGAGAAGGAAAAATTACTTTCTTACTTTCTCATCCGCAGACTCGGATTCGTCTTCTTCAGACGCCTGCAACAACAAAAGGTCAACCGCTGTGGTTTACGATTTTGAAATGACCTAGTAAACCCGAAGGATCAAATTCTCCAGATTTCTGTAGAGTAAAACCATGGCGCGGTTTGCAGCTATGGAGTATCGATGGAAAAATCAATCTTGTATGTGATTTTTGATGCGCTTGATGCTGACGTAGAGCGACGTCACCTAATAGGGCGGCAATTGTGTTGGGTATGCTGAAGGAAAAGCGCTAAACACACCCTTGAATTTTGAGCATATTTTATATAAGTTATTACTTGAAATGTCGTTTGTTTCCGAGGTCTTCTTTTGTAAGGAGGGAGAATTTTTCAGGGAGGTCATAAGGGGTTAAAATTTTTCAAACGTTTTTCAACTTAAAGGGTCGAGGGTTATGTGGCGTGGTTTTGACATAAAATCAAAGATCAGGTGGGTTTTCGCGTCATGCCTGTTTGTGCTCAACAGTGAATCGAAGCGCTCCCTAAATATGGACATTATCACGCAAAATGAACACTAGAGCTTGCTGATGCAGGGCTGATGGAATGCTATTATGAAAGCACTAGGCATGATTTACTTCGTTTTCCGATCAGTGAGGATGAGACACCGGGTTCCTCCGACCCAAGATGCTCAAGAGAAGCTCAGTTCCTGGCGGTCTGATAGTCAAAGGATTACAGTAGCGGTTTTTTTTTGTGGTTTCCAAAAAAAAAAGTGTTTGCGCAGAACGAATTTCCAGTGCAGTATTTTCTTGTTTAACCAACGCTTATTATATCACTATGCTTTCTGGTGTTTTTATATCCTCAAGCCTTTAAAGAATCAGGATGTCCAAGAGAAAAAAATTTCGAGGCCACCATTGATTTTTCCAAAGAAAAAGAGAAGCACGAAAAACGTTTCGCGCGAACACTTTTGACCGCTACTGTAGCTGGTGATAATGGTGCTAGTACATACTTACATAGCCAGCAAATAGCGGTCTATTCCATTTAGAGACTTCTGGAAGATCTTGTCCAAAAAACCATAAATGTAAACAAACCGAATAGTCAAAATACAGGCTGGTATCTGAGGAACGGGGCTGCATTGTAGTCAATGAGGGTGCACTGGTCGGCAACTCATTTGCGTATAAAATTGATATTTGGTAAGATGTAGAAGAGTAATACTGATAATACTGATAGAGGATAGTAGTACTAAATAATTATTACGTCAAACCCTTCAATGCAAAGAGCCTTAAGCACACTTCGCGTAAGGACATCAAATTTAGAAGCTTATCATAAGTCGCGTGTATGAGCTCGCTTTCCAGAAAGAAATTCGTATGTCAGGCCGTCTTTGAGATGTAGTAATCAAAAATTATTGTACATAAATATATTGAATAGCAGTCATAAACCGCTGCAAATTGTCGAACCTGAGCAACAAAGGCTAAGCAACAAAGAGCCAATCCAAGGCGAACCATCTCGGTCGAATACTGATAATATCCCGCCAGAGAAGCAGCACTGATAGTGCGCTATCAGGGCTGCTGACCAAAATTGATTAGTGAGAAAGATGTTACTGAGAGCAACCTATTTTGCTCCGCAGGCAGGAAATCTCACAGTCTGTATCTTATGGCAACTTATTGTTGAGTTAGAGTAGTGAAATTCCACCGTAAAATATCGGAAAATAGTCGCTTTCTGACACAAGATATAAGAGTGAAGGAGAAGGGGATGAGGATCAACAACTCCTTTGTGGCGCTCCATTTGCAACACTCTGCTCACTTTCTCTGATGTCGGTCCTGAAAAATGCAAATTCGTACTAATTTGTGGCGTGCACAGGCTTAAAGCAACAACCCAGCAGAAGACGTCAAGGAACCTATGGAAGTGAAATAGAGTAGCC